AATTTTTTGTATATTCTGGACATTAGTTCCTTGTTGAATGAATAGTTTGTAAATATTTTCTCCCATTCAACAGATTGTCTCTTCACTTTGTTGATTGTTTCCTTTGCTTTGCAGAAGCTTTTTAGCTTAATATAGACCGATTTGTCTATTTTTGTTTTTGTTACCTACAGTTTTGTACCTTGAATAGTTTTTAATATTAATTTCCATTACTCTATTTTAGAGCTAGATTTTAGAGCCAACGGTATAAGGATGGTAGTGTGTCCATCTGTGGAAGAGATTCAGATCTTTCTCTAAGTAATAGTGTCATATGTCACAGTATGCAAAAGCTAAGCATGTGTGAAAACTGATACCTACTAAAAATACTGTAACTTATTTTGGCTCATTAACCTCCAAGGAATTTCAAAGTCTACAAGGGGTTTTGGTGGGGTTTTTTGGTAATTTTTAGTAGTGGCAAAATATATATAATTAATTTATTATGTTTACCATTTTTTTAATGTACAGGTCAGTAGTGTTAGGTACATTCGCATTGTTGTACAGCCAATCTCCAGAATTCTTTCATCTTCCAAAACTGAAACTTTATAGCTATTAAACAACTTCATTTCCCCACTCCCCCAGTCCCTGACAACCACCATTCTACTTTCTATCTCTGAATTTGACTGGACTAGGTACCTAATATAAGTGGAATTATATAGTATTTGTCTACTTGTGACTAGCTTATTTCACTTAGCATTATATCCTCAATGTTCATCCATGTTATAGCTTGTGTCAGAACTTCCTTTTCAAAGCTGAATAATATTGCATTGTATGTGTACACCTTATTTTGTCTACCCATACATCTGTCAGTGAATACTTAGGTTGCTTCCAGTTTTTGGCTATTATGAATAATGCTGCTATGAACATGAGTGTTCAAATAATCTCTTCAAGACCCTGCTTTCAGTTCTTTCAGTTATATACTTAGAAGTAGAATTGCTAGATCATATGGTAACTCTATTTTTACTCTTTTGGGGAACTTCCATGCTGTTTTCCATAGCAGATACACCATTTTACTTTTCCACCAATGGTGCACAAGAGTTCTAGTTTCTCCACATGCTCGCAACCACTTATTCTTTTCTGGGGTTTTTTGTTCATTTGTTTTGGATAATAGCCATCTTAATGAGTGTGAAGTGGTATCTCATTGTGGTTTTGGTTTTTATTTCCATAATGATTAGTAATATTGAACATCTTTTCATGTGTTTGTTGGCCATTTGTATATCTTCTTTGGAGAGACGTCAAGTTCTTTGCCCATTGTGTGTGTGTGGCTTTTCTTTTCTTTTCTTTTTTTTTTTTTTTTTGAGACAGAGTTTCACTTTTGTTGCCCAGGCTGGAGTGCAATGGTGCGATCTCGGCTCACCGTAACCTCCACCTCCCAGGTTCAAGCGATTCTCCTGCTCGGCCTCCCGAGTTGCTGGGATTATAGGCATGCGTCACCATGCCCGGCTACTTTTTTCGTATTTTTAGTGGAGACGGGGTTTCTCCACGTTGGTCAGGCTGGTCGCAGACTCCCGACCTCAGGTGATCCACCCGCCTCGGCCTCCCAAAGTGCTGGGATTACAGGCATGAGCCACTGTGCCCACCCGTGTTGCCCATTTTTTAATCAAGTTGTTTTTTGTTGTTGTAGGAGGTCTTTATATATTCTAAATTTTGTTGTTGTTTTTATTTTGTTTTTGTTTGTTTGTTTTTTGAGACAGAGTCTCACTCTGTCACCCAGGCTGGAGCGCAGTGGCACAGTCTTGGCTCCCTGCAACCTCTGCCTCCCGGGCTCAAGCAATTCTCGTGTCTCAGCCACCCAAGTAGTTGGAATTACAGGCATGCGCCACCACACCTGGCTATTTTTTGTATTTTTAGTAGAGACATGGTTTCGCCATGTTGGCCAGACTGGTCTCAAACTCCTGGCCTCAAGTGATAGACCTGCCTTGGCCTCCCAAATGCTGGGATTACAGGCATGAGCCACCATGCCCAGACTATTCTGAATACTAACTCCTTATTAGATAAATGATTTGCAGATAATTCCTCCCATTCCACAGGTTTTCTTTTTACTCTGTTGATTGTGTCATTGGGCTACAAGATATTTTCAGGTCGGGCATGGTGACTCATGCATGCCTGTAATCCCAGCACTTTGGGAGGCTGAGGCAGGCAGTTCACTTGAGGTCATGAGTTCGAGACCACCTTGGCCAACATGGCGAAACCTTGTCTCTACTAAAAATACAAAAAAAAAAAAGTAGCTGGGCATCATGGTGCATGCCTGTAATCCCAGCTACTTGGGGGAGGGTAAGGCAGGAAGATCGCTTGAACCCAGGAAGCAGAGGTTGTGGTGAGCCAAGACTGCACCAGTGCACTCCAGCCTGGACAACAGAGTGAGACTCCTTCTCAAACAAAAGAAAAAAAAGATGTTTTCGGATTAACTAAGTTGTTGTAAAGATATTTTATTAATAAGCAGGGAAGCACAAATTAATAGTATGATAATGATAAAGTACAGCCTTCATTCATCAGATCAACTTTTGGCAAGTATGTAGGGAAATGGATACATTACTGCATTGTTAGGTAGAAGTATATCTTGGCACAGCCACTTTGGAGGGCAATTTGGCTGTATCCATTTTTTTTTTTTTTTTAAGCCAGAATCTTACTCTGTCGCCTAGGCTGGAATGCAGTGGCATGATTGCGGCTTACTGCAACCTCTGCCTCCCAGGTTCAAGTGATTCTTTTGCCTCAGCCTCCTGAGTAACTAGGGTTACAGGCACCCACCACCATGCCCAGCTATTTTTTGTATTTTTAGTAGAGATGGGGTTTTACCATGTTGGCCAGACTGGTCTCAAACTCCTGACCTCAAGTGATCCACCTGCCTCAGCCTCCCAAAGTGCTGGGATTGCAGGCGTGAGCCACCTTGCCTGGCCACTATATCCATTTTAATTAAAAAATGTTTCTATCCTATGACCTAACAATCCCATTGCTAGGAATCACTTTCACATGGGTACAGGGAGATATGTGCAAGGATGTTCACTGCAACGTTATTTTTAGTTGGTAAAAAGGAAAACAACTAGGAAAATACCATTAATATGATACCATTTATGTTAAAACAGAAAGCAATATTATATGTTTTCTGGTAGTATAAACACATATATTAATAAATTCAAAAAGATCTGGAAATGGTAACTGTGGCTGCCAGAATGCACTAGAATTGCTCCTTATAACCATATAATGTTTTTAAAAATAGTTTTTACAAGATAAATGTGTTTATATGTTACTTAGTTTTTATTTTTTATTTGTTTGTTTATTTATTTAGAGACAGAGTCTAGCTCTGTCGCCCAGGCTGGAGTGCAGTGACACAATCTCGGCTCACTGCAACTTCTGCCTCCCAGGTTCAAGCAATTCTCCTGCCTCAGCCTCCCAAGACTGAGGATTACAGGTGCCCACCATCACGCCCAGCTAATTTTTGTATTTTTAGTACAGACGGGGTTTCACTGTCTTGGTCAGGCTGGTCTCGAACTCCTGACCTCATGATCCACCCACCTCAGCCTCCCAGAGTGCTGGGATTATAAGCGTGAGCCACCGTGCCTGGCCAGTTTTTATTTTTTATACACATTTTCAAAAATGTAAAGGTGGTGTAACTAAACAAATATTGAAGAAAGAGTTTGACCTAAAATTTGGGTAGCATTTGGTAGACTGAACATTGTGTAAAATTTGGTTCTTAGCTTTGCAATCACAGAAATTGAATTTTAACAGGATAACCGGAATTTATTTACCTCTAGGGATTTTGTGCCTACTGACCGAGGCATATCAATCTATGGACATTGGTAACCGAAGGAGTTATCTATTAATTCATTAATTTACCATATTGTACAGGCAAAGAGACCAAAATAATGATAAGCAGTAGTCAGTACATGCTCTCACCTTATGGGAAAGTCTGAAAACTTACTGTTAAAAGGATTTTAACTAAAGAAATCAAAGCATGGGAGTTGGATTATTTTATTGGCTGAGATTTTAAAATTATAATTGTAAGGCCGGGCACGGTGGCTTATGCTTATAAACCCAGCACTTTGGGAGGCTGAGGCCGGTGGATCATTTGCAGTCAGGAGTTCAACACCAGCCTGGCCAACATGGTGAACCCCTGTCTCTACTAAAAATACAAAAATTAGCTGGGTGTGGTGGCGCACACCTGTAATCCCAGCTCCTTGGGAGGCTGAGACACAGGTTGCAGTGAACCAAGATCGTGCCACTGCACTTCAGCTTGGGCAACAGAGTGAGACTTCATCTCATAAATAAATAAATAAATAAATATTAGTTTGTGCAAGCCAATCTCTATAAGATTGTCACCAACCTGGGTGACAGAGTGAGACTCCATCTCAAAAAAATAAAAAACGATAAAATGCAGATTGAGAGGGCTATGGTTTCTTTACCTTAGTATTTACAGTGTTGTCTTCTCAAATATATTATGATGTCATGATGGAGAATAGAGAAATGTGACGCTCATCAGTAGACATTTATGAACCTTTTTGGAATTGACTATTTCTGCATGTAGCCTCCATTTTGTATTGTTTTTCACTGCCGTTTTAGAGCATTATTTTATTATCTTGGTTCCTCCAGATTGAGAATGCACTCTATTTGGAGCTTACTCAGCTACATAAGATTATTTTAGTGCTCATAAATGTATTCATTTTGCATAATCTCTGAACAGATTAAAATCTCTGTGGTATGGCAAAGTTTCCATTCTAGTGGAGTAAAATATAGGTTTCTTAGCTAGGAATGTATATTTGGTGAGTAGAGTGTAATGCTTAAGGTCACAGGCAGCTTTGTTTTTAAAGCCCGCTCCACCACTTACCGCTTTCCTTGGGTGAACCAAATCACTTAACCTACCTAAACCCAGGCCTCCTCGTCTTTGTAAAATGCCTAAATTTCAAGATGTTAACTGCAATTAAGATTATTTTCCTGATAATGTATATTTTCATGGGCTCCTTTTTATTCAGCTAAACATGAATTCAGCTCCAACTTTCATCAACTTTCCGGCAAAAGGGAAACCCAAACGGGGTGATACATATGAGTTACAGGTGCGGGGTTTTTCAGCTGAGCAGATTGCCCGGTGGATCGCCGACAGAACTGATGTCAATGTAAGTTTCCCAACTTTGTAGACTGTTTCTTGGCCATTATCCCCTTTGAATCTTACTGAAAGGCCCTAATTAGTCTTGTCCCCATATCACTGAGGTGGTACTAGTTTGTCAGTCCCTTCATAAGTAGCATTAAACAGAATCATCTTGATGAATGAGTGAAATTGCAAAACACTCTCTGTTACCCTGTTCAACATGGAAACCACTCTTTCAACCTTCTTAAGTCCGTGGGTTATCTAGTTGCACCTGGTGAATCCTTCTTAATCTAAAAGATGTTATGTTGTGGTTAAATAGAATATTGTACCTATTCTGTCCTATTTTAGGTTACATTATAGACTATTTTGATTGGGATAAAATAAAAAGAATCATTTTTCTGAAAGTAACCACACTAATTTTGATTGCTTTCACTTCAGATTTTATTTTGACCCATATAATTAGTAAAAAATTTTATACTTTAACATGTTTTTCTCTCCTTTCCATTAGATTAGAGTGATTAGACCCCCAAATTATGCTGGTCCCCTTATGTTGGGATTGCTTTTGGCTGTTATTGGTGGACTTGTGTATCTTCGAAGAAGCAATATGGAATTTCTCTTTAATAAAACTGGATGGGCTTTTGCAGCTTTGGTGAGTGAATTTTAGAAGACAAAAAATTATTTGAATAAAACTAATAATGTATTTTTAGGTAAACTTTTATTTATATGAGAAGTAGCATTTTATTTCTTACCTGAAGAAAATTGTTTTATGTATTTTTATTTTCTGTCTTAAAATCATTTTGTTTCATTCATTATCTCATTAGGATGGACAGAACTTCAAGGAACTGATTGTACCTGCCTTTTATTCAACCTAAATGACAGAATGTCATCTCTATGAAAATCTCTAGTTGTTTTGGAAATATTATTCTTTTTTTTTTTGAGACAGAGTCTTGGTCTGTCGCCCAGGCTGGAGTGCAGTGGTGCCATCTCGGCTCACTGCAACCTCTGCTTCCTGGGCTCAAGCGATTCTCCTGCCTCAGCCTCTCTCAAGTAGCTGGGATTACAGGCGCGTGCCACCACGCCCAGCTAATTTTTTTGTATTTTTAGTAGAGACGGGGTTTCATCCTGTTGGCCAGGCTGGTCTTGAACTCCTGGCCTCAGGTGCTCTGCCCACCTTGGCCTCCCAAAGTGCTGGGGTTACAGGCATGAGCCACCATGTCCAGCCTGAAAATATTATTCTAAAACGCCTTTTCACTGTTCAATTTTGAAACTTGTGTCTGCATAGTTATAATTTTTAAATAGTGTTTTCCTGGTCTGGCATGGTGGCTCACGCCTATAATCCCAGCACTTTGGGAGGCTGAGGTGGGCGGATCACAAGGTCAAGAGACCAAGATCAACCTGGCCAACATGGTGAAACCCTCTGTACTAAAAATGCAAAAATTAGCTGGGCGTGGTGGCATGCACCTGTAGTCCCAGCTACTCGGGAAGCTGAGGTAGGAGAATCACTTAAACCTGGAAGGTGGAGGTTGCAGTGAGCCGAGATCGCGCCACTACACTCCAGCCTGCTGACAGAGTGAGACTCCATCTCAAAAAATATATATATATGTAGTGTTTTCCTTTGAAGTATTACCGAATTGTGATCCTTGGGATGAAATATAAGCCTTAATCAATAAATCATTTATCTGCAAAAAATTCTATGTCTTATCTAAACAGATGCACATTTTCATATTCCTATTATCTAATCAAGACAAGGACAGTTTGACCATGAATATTTTATTATTTTTTGTTTCCTAGTGTTTTGTGCTTGCTATGACATCTGGTCAAATGTGGAACCATATAAGAGGACCACCATATGCCCATAAGAATCCCCACACAGGACATGTGGTAAGGGAAGTCTGGGATTTCTTTCCTTTTGTAGACCAAAGTTAACTCAATGATTATTACACTGTGAGAACAGTGCCAGCATATGAAGGAGCTGGATTTAGTCTTCACTTTTCAGTCTCTCTGTGTTAACAAGCTTCCATCACTGATAAGACCATGCAGTGCTTTTTTTGTTTTGTTTTGTTTTGTTTTTTTTTGAGACGGAGTTTCGCTCTTGTTGCCCAGGCTGGAGTGCAATGGCGTAATCTCGGCTCACTGCAACCTCCGCCTCCCTGGTTCAAGTAATTCTCCTGCCTCAGCCTCCTGAGTAGCTGGGATTACAGGCATGCACCACCACGCCCAGCTAATTTTGTATTTTTAGTAGAGACAGGGTTTCTCCGTGTTGGTCAGGCTGGTCTCAAACTCCCAACCTCAGGTGATCCATCTGCCTCAGCCTCCCAAAGTGCTGGGAATATAGGCCTGCAGGCATGAGCCACTGCACCCGGCCGCAGTGCTTTTAAAAGTGGGAAGTTCCTTTCCCATGGGTGAATCCTTCTAACCAAGCTGGCTAAGAATGAAAGACAGCCTTCAACTAAATAGAAAATTTGATCAAGTACCTGAGCATCCTCTGTTTCTAAGCACTGTGCTAAGTGTTATTAAATATAGTGATAAACAAGAAAAACGTGATCCCTGTCTTCATGGAGCCTACATTATTGTACCTCATGGTCTTGTACACTTAAATACTAGTTTTCTCACCCAGGTGCAGTGTTTTGCATTTGTAGTCCCAGCTACTTGGGAGGCTGAGGCAGGAGGATGACTTGAATCCAGGAGTTCTAGCCCAGCCTGGACAACATAGCAAGATCCATCTCCTTTAAAAAAAAAAAAAAACAGGGCCAGATGTGGTGACTAATACCTGTAATTCTGGCACTTTGGGAGACTGAGGCAGGAGGACCACTTGAGGCCAGGAGTTTAAGACCAACTTGGGCAGCATAGTGAGACGCCATCTCTATGAAAAACAAAAAAGAAAAGAGAAAAAAAAACAACTAGTTTTCTGACATATTCTACTGTTGAAAATATAAGTACAATATCCAAGCATTTGGGAGGCTGAGGTGGGAGGATTGCTTGAGCCCAGGAGTTTGAGACCAGCCTGGCCAACATAGCAAGATCTCATTTCTAATAAAAATTTAAAAATTAGCTGAGCAGGCATGGTGGTACATACTTGTAGTCCCATCTACTTGGGATGCTGAGGCAGAAGGATCGCCGGAGCCAGGACTTTGGGGTTGCAATGAGCTATGATCATGCTACTGCACTCCAGCCTGGGCAGCAGAGCAAGACCTTGTCTCAAAAATAAACATAGTATTAGTACAATGAAAAGACAAATAGGGAAGAGATAATACAAAAATAGCTTTATAGTAACCAAACTTACTGATGAATGCCAGAGACCCAGAGTATGTCACATGGTTTATCAGGTGAATTAATAATTTCATAGTTTAAAATATCCTGTTTTAGGGTTAGCATACCAACATTTAATGTATACCTAAAGATTCCATTTTGTCTTTTTTCCCTCCTAGAATTATATCCATGGAAGCAGTCAAGCCCAGTTTGTAGCTGAAACACACATTGTTCTTCTGTTTAGTATCCTTTTACAATAAGTCTTTCTTACTGTATTTTGTCTGTTTTCTCACAGTCTAGTATTCTCTCTACAGCATTCGGCTGGGGCTGTTCTCTTAATGCAGGTCACGATATCCTTTGAAAATCATTACTGTGTCATCCTCTCCAGCCCAAAAAACTAAAGACTACTAGGAACAAATCTGTACACTGATAGGGCCAGGTTTATTGGCTTATTAATACAAGGACGACTATACGTTAGAAGAACCATGGAACATCTTAACAAAGAAAAGATAGAGTTGTAATAGGATTTGGGAGAATAGTGGAGTTTATATGAAATTTAAACAAAGCATTGTTTTGATAGGCTAAAAGCAGTGTAAGACTGTGTAAAGGGGTCAACATCAGGTCTGAACTGTGAAGCAAACCCAGGGTTCTGTTTCCTTGGGAACTACAAAGTTAACATAAATGTGGAATTTTTGTCTTCAAAAACTTCTTCTTTGAAGCTCTATACCTTGGTTGTAAATTGAGGCTACTTAGAAATTATACTTGTAAATTGAGTGACTTAGATCTGCCAAGCAAGAATATTTCATTTTTACTCACATAATTGCAAGAAGTCTATTTAAAGACCAATATTCCTCAGTAAGAAAACAGTAGTTACTCAGAGATAGGGATATTTTGACATTTTACAGCTGAAGTGTGTGCTAGGGAAAAATTCTTCCTGTGGACTTTGCAGCTGCTTTATGTGTGTGTTGTTCCATCCTCTTGAATGGCAGGGAATATTTTTACTTTCTTGGCCCGAGCTAATTTTTATTTTCTTACATCTAAAAGTGGATGCCTCTATAAGCTGCAAAGACAGGTAAAAGCAATGTCAGATAAGTAAGAATCTAAATTTCATAATATTGCTAAACATAGTTTACCCACCTGAATACATAAGCACTGACTCTGGAACAAATCAACAAGGCAAACAAATCTAATGTTCCTGGAATTGTGCTTCTCAGCCAGGGTGTCCTGCCATTGATATACTAGAATCAGCTGGGCGTGGTGGCTCACACCTGTAATCCTAGCACTTTGGGAGGCTGTGATAGGTAGATGGCTTGAGCTCAGCAGTTTAAGACCAGCCTGGGCAACATGGCAAAACCCCATCTCTACAAAAAAATACACACAAGAAAATTAGCCAAGTATGGTGATGCATGCCTATGGTCCCAGCTACTAGGGAGGCTGAGGTGGGAGGATCGCTTGAGCCCAGGAGGTCAAGGCAACAGTGAGCCGATATCATACCACTGCACTCCAGCCTGGACGACACAGTGAGACCCTGTCTCTAATAAAAAGAAAAAAAAATAAAAATTAAATATATATTTTTTCTGATTGCAAAAGGAATACAGATTAAAGAAAATTTAGAAAATACAAATAAGTATAAAGAAAAAAATTCAAAACCACTGAAAATTCTGTCTTTAGTAAATGTTTGTGTATGTCTTTCCCAGTTTTATTATACTATGTTGATGATTAGAGATTTTAAGGAAAACATTCTAAAAAAAATTAAGCTTTTGATTTTAACTGATTTTAATTGAAGGATATTTGGGAAAATATTCTTATGCACTGTGGAAAATATACTTACTGCTTAACATCCAGCCCAAACCTGGGAGAGTTAATCTATTCAACCATGAAATGGTAAGCTGAAAGATTAACAATATATACCTAGTCCATATGAGAAGAAAGAAGACTGAGACCAGGCGCGGTGGCTCATGCTGTAATCCCAGCACTTTGGGAGGCCAAGGCAGGTAGATCACCTGAGATCAGGAGTTCGAGACCAGCCTGGCCAACATGATGAAACCCCATCTCTACTAAAAATACAAAAACAATTTGCCAAACCCACTGGTGGCAGGTGCCTGTAATCCCAGTTACTCAGGAGGCTGAGGCAGGAGAATCTCTTGAACCTGGGAGGCGGGGGTTGAAGTGAGCAGAGATTGTGTGATTGCTCTCCAGCCTGGGCAATAAGAGTGAAACTCCATCTCAGGGGGTAAAAAAAGACTGAAAGAAAAATATTACCCAAACTTTATTTTTTTAATCCTAAAATTTTACTTGAAAATGTTCGTTTATGGACTGGGCGTGGTGGCTGACGCCTGTAATCCCAGCACTCTGGGAGGTGGAGGCAGGCAGATCATTTGAGGTCAGGAGTTTGAGGCCAGCCTGACCGACATGGTGAAAGCCCGTCTCTACCAAAAATACAAAACTTAGCCAGGCGGCCAGGCGTGCTGCCTCACACCTGTAATCCCAGCACTTTGGGAGGCCGAGGCAGGCAGATCACCTGAGATCAGGAGTTCAAGACCAGCCTGGCCAACATGGTGAAACCCTGTCTCTATTAAAAATACAAAAATTAGCTGGGCATGGTGGTGCACGCCTGTAATCCCAGCTACTGGGGAGGCTGAGGCCAGAGAATTGCTTGAACCTGGGAGGCGGAGGTTGCAGTGAGCCGAGATGGTGCCACTGCACTCCAGCCTGGATGACAGAGTGAGACTGTCTCAAAAGAAAAAAAAAAGAAAGAAAATGTTCATTTATGGTTTGATGAATTCAGCCTGGCCAACAAGACGAAACCTCATCTCAACAAGAAATACAAAAATTAGCCAGGAACGGTGGTGTGCACCTGTAATTCCATCTACTCAGGAGGCTGAGACATGGGAATTGCTTGAACCCAGGAGGTGGAGGTTGCAGTGAGCCGAGACTGCCACTGCACTCCAGCCTGGGCAACAGAGTGAGACTCTGTCTCAAAAAGGAAAAAAAAAAAAAGAACAGAAAAGTATGATTTGATGGACTAACAAATTATTGGTTTGATGGATTAACAAAGTATTACACCTTGGAAAATTTTCAGTATCTTGAATCAATTTGTCTCACTAGTACTTTGAAATTGAATAATGGAGCAAAAGAGCAATTAAAAGTGTAAAATATTAATTAGTTGATTTGGGGTTTGTTCGTCTTTTAGCTTTGTCTTAAACTTTTAAATATATAAGAAGTTTAAGAAATTAGAAAATTGTCATTTTACCTCTCCCTAAAGATTGAGCATTAGCCTAAGGTTTCGTATACATTTGGAACAGATTGCAAGCCTGTTGGGATATAGAATGTCTTGTGTTTGGTTACTAGGATGCAAAAAGTGAACTTTTTTCAGGGTCAGACATATGTACAGATTGTAAGACAGTGACTTAAGTGCTGTGTACCAGAAATAGTGAGAAAATGAATAATTTTGTCAGAGGTAAGGAATATTAGGGAAGGCTTAACCACTCCCCAACCCCCTTTTTTTTTTGAGTGGAGTCTTGCTCTGTTGCCCCAACTGGAATGCAGTGACACCATCTTGGTTCACTGCAACCTCCACCTCCTGGATTCAAGCGATCCTCCTGCCTCAGCCTCCCGAGTACCTGGGATTACAGACGTGTACCACCACACCTGACCCCTCTTTCTTTTTTATTTAGTTAGTTAGTTTTTTGTTTTGAGACGGAGTCACACTGTGTTGCCCAGGGTGGAGTGCAGTGGCATGATCCCAGCTCACTGCAACCTCCACCTCCTGGGTTCAAGCGATCCTCCTGCCTCAGCCTCCTGAGTAGCTGGGATTACAGGTGTGCACCACCAAACCCGGCTAATTTCTTTATTTTTAGTAGAGACAAGGTTTCACCAGGTTGGCCAGGCTGATCTTGAACTCCTGACCTCAGGTGATCCACCCGCCTCGGCCTCCCAAAGTGCTGGGATTTCAGGCGTGAGCCACCACACCCGGCGCCTACTTTCTTTTAAAGTAAATATGAAACCTCAAGACCAGTAACATTGTTTACAGCTTCCAGGTTGATAAGAATTAATAGACTGAGGCCACCTCTAAGTAGTAGTTATGATTTTGGAAAATATTCACGTTTATTATTAGTTTAATGTTGTACAATTTATTGCATGATTAATAAAGCAGACTATATAATCAGTTGCCTGATCTAAGCAACCTTTAAAATTACATTTTAAGTGTTGCAATTATGCAGAAAAGTTTACAAAAGTTTACAGTTTGATGAATTTCCTTTTTTGTTTGTTTGTTTTTTGTTTTTTGTTTCTGAGATGGAGTCTTGCTCTGTTGCCCAGCTAGAGTGCAATGGTGTGATCCCAGCTCGCTGCAACCTCCACTTCCCAGGTTCAAGCGATTCTCCTGCCTCCGCCTCTGGAGTAGCTGGAATTACAGGCACCTGCCACCACACCTGGCTAAGTTTTTTTGGTATTTTTAGTAGAGAAGGAGTTTTACCATGTTGGCCAGGCTGGTTTTGAACTCCTGAGCTCTACTGATCCGCCCGCCTTGGCCTCCCAAAGTGCAAGGATTATAGGCGTGAGCCACGGTGCCCAGCCCAGTTTGATGAATTTTCACAGAATGAACACACTTATGTAACCAGAACTCACATCAATAAATAAAATTTTACCCACATCTCAGAGCATTCTCCACCATCATTCCTGCCACCTTCCCACTCAGAAGTAACTGCTATCCTGACGGCTAACACTATGGGTTTATTTTACCTATTTTTGTTAACTTACATAAATGGAATGCTACAGGACTGGGTGTGGTGGCTCACGCCTGTAATCCCAGCACTTTGGGAGGCCGAGGTGGGCAGATCACCTGAGGCCAGGAGTTCAAGAGCAGCCTGGCCAACATGGCGAAACCCTTTCTCTAGTAAAAAAATAATACATAAATTAACTGAATGTGGTGCTGCATGCCTGTAGTCCCAACTACTTGGGAGGCTGAGGCAGGAGGGTGGCTCAAGTCCAGGAGGTGGAGGTTGCAGTGAGCTGAGATCACACCACTGCACTCCAGCCTGGCTGATAGAGCCAGACCTTGTCTCAAAATACAAAAAAAAAAAAAAGAAAAGAAAGAAAGAAAGCAAACACAGTAAATGGAATCCCACAATAAATATATCTGGATTTTTTTATTATTATTATTTTTTAAGAGATTTAAAGAGTTTGCGTTGCCCAGGCTGGAGTGCAGTGGGGTCACCATAGCTCGCTGAAACCTCAACCTCCCAGGATCAAGCAGTCCTCCCACATCAGCCTCCCAAGTAGCTGGGACTATAGGTGTGCACTACTGCACCTAGCTAATTTTTGTATTTTTTCTAGAGATGGAGTCTCGCCCTGTCATCCATCCTGGTCTCAATCTCCTGGGCTCAAACAGTCCTCGTACCTTGGCCTCCTGAATGTTTAAAATAAAGTAGCAGTATGGAAAATGTTCACCTTTAACCTGAAACCTTAATGGTATAAACTACGTTTACTTTTGCGTATTCTCTTGCATTCATTTCTGTATGAATGTTTCATGGTAAGGGTGTTCATGTTTTATACTTATAGACATGTTTTGCATGGAGTTTGCTATCTTAATATAAGCATTTTCTATGTTGTATGGCCTTTATAAAAATACATAAAAATTACAAAGAAATCTGAAAATACGAAGAAAAAGAAAAGTAGTCAATATTCTTAATGTTTATATAATGGATATATCATATCCATGTTGCCCAGGCTGGTCTTGAACTCCTGACCTCAGGTGATCCACCCGCCTTGGCCTCCCAAAGTGCTAGGATTACAAGTGTGAGCCACCACGCCTGGCCTTCTAGTAGCTTTTAATAGCCTAGTTGTTGTATGTTATGGAATACTGTCTCCTCTATTTCTGCTCAGTTCTCCTGGAGTAACATTTAATCAGGACTATGTAATGTATGTATTTCATTGTTTGTATTCCTCACTAGAGTGTAATCTTCTTCATGGTAGGATCTTTATTTTGTTCAAGTTTTTATTTCCAACAGTTTGTAGTGCCTGCCATATAGTAGGCAGTGTTAGTAAAAATTTAAAGATGCAATAAATGAAATAAAACAGTATACACTGAAGTGCATCATAGCTGTTGACAGATAAGAAGAGTACACAAAAGACTAATGGAAAGCTCATTCAAAGCAAAAGCATATAAACCATGATACAAAGACAAGCTTTCCCCAGAACAAGTCTCGATCATTAATCAGAGAGTACCCAGTAATCAAAGCCTATAGAAATGATCAATCTTTGGCCAGGCATGGTGGCTCATGCCTGTAACCCCAGTACTTTGAGAAGCCGAGGTGAGTGGATCACCTGTGGTCAGGAGTTCAAGACTAGCCTGGCCAACATGGCGAAACCCAGTCTCTACTCAAAATACAAAAATTAGCCAGGCGTGGTGGCATGCGCCTATAATCCCAGCTACTCAGGATGCGGAGGCAGGAGAATTTATTGAACCCAGGAGGCAGAGGTTGCAGTGAGCCGAGATGGTGCCACTGCACCCCAGCCTGGGTGACAGAGCAAGACTCCATCAAAAAAAAAAAAAAAAAAAAAGAGAGAGAGAGAGAGAAAGACAAGAAAGAAAGAAAGGAAAGAAAGAATCTTTGCACAAATCTGCAGATAAATAACTCAGAAAAAATTGCTAGAGAAGAGACTTGGCTGAACAACTGAAAACATGATGAATGGGAATCATCCCTAACAAGAGGCTACTGAAGAAAGAATGCAAGATGGGGCACAGACACATTGGTTCATGCCTGTAATTCCAGCACTTTGGGAGGCCGAGGCTGGAGAATTGCTTGAGCCCAGGAGTTCGAGACCAGCCTGGGCAACATAGTGAGACCCCGTCTCTAAAAAAAAAAAAATTAACAAAACAAACCTGGCATGCTGGCATGCACCTGTAGTCCTAGCTACTCAGGAGGCTGAGGCAGGAGGATCTCTTGAGCCTGGGAGGTGGAGGTTGCAGTGAGTTGTTATTGTGCCACTGCACTCCAGCCTGGGTGACAGAGTGAGACCCTGTCTCAAATAAATAAAATAAAAAATTTTTTTAAAGAATGCAAGATGGTAATGAAGGGATGAAAAGTCAAATTTTAGAGCCAATTATAAATTCAGGCATAGAGCCAATTATAAATTCAGGCCTCATCTAAACACATGTTTTTCCCTTTCTGCTTAATGATACCCACATGTGGTAGCATACGACATATATGTACGTATGCGTAATTGATTTGGGAGTGTTTTACTACTGTTAGTATTCCTTAAACTTCAGGGTGGATCTGTCAGTCTTTTCTACTAGAATACATTCTATTTGCTTTAAAATTTGAATTTGCTTATTTTAACATTCAACCATGCCATCTGTTACCTATTTGTGTGGTTAGTTCTATTTTGTATTTATGCAGCTCCTATTAAGGTGAATAAAAGTGTGGTCATGGCACATGTGGGATTTTTCCTTTTTTCTTTTTTTGAGACAAAGTCTCGTCCTGTTACCCAGGCTGGAGTACAGTGGTGCCATCTCGGCTCACTGCAACCTCTGCCTCCTGGGTTCAAGTGATTCTCCTGCCTCGGCCTCCCGTGTAGGTGGGATTACAGGCGCCTGCCACCACGCCTGGCTAATTTCTGTATTTTTAGTAGAAACGGGTTTTTGCCATGTTGGCCAGGCTAGTCTTGAATTGCTGACTTCAGGTCCACCTGCCTGTGCCTCCCAAAGTGCTGGGAGTACAGGCGTGAGCCACCACTCACGGCTGGGATTTTTCTTTTTTATTGGAATAGGATAAAATTAGATAGGTTAGTAGTAATTTGTGCTTTAAAAGCTAATTATTGATGCACTTGGCATCTTGGCATGGGGAAAAAATTAAAAATAAAGTATTGAAACTATGGAGAATTTTTTTTTGACACACAGTCTAGTTCTGTCATGCAGGCTAGAGTGCAGTGGTATGATCACGGCTAACTGCAGCCTCAACCTACCAGGCTCAAGCAATCCTCCTACCTCAGCCTCCCAAGTAGGACTACAGGTGTGTGCCACCATGCCTGGCCAATTTTTTATATTTTTTGGTAGAGACAGGGTCTCACCATGTTGCCTAGGCTGGTTTTGAACTCCCAGACTTAAGCAGTCCACCCACCTCGGCCTCCCAAAACTGTTAGGATTACAGGTGTGAACCGCTAAACTAGGCCAGGAAAAATTTTTGAGAAATTAATTTTCAAATAAGAAGTATTACTGTTCTCCCTAAATGATATATATTTCAAATGTGTTCTTTAGGGAGGTGGGGTGAAATATTCAAAATGGGTATTTAGGGCTGGGCATGGTGGTTCACACATGTAATCCCAGCACTTTGGGAGGCAAAGGCAGGTGGATTGCTTGAGGTCAAGAGGTCAAGACCAGCCTGTGCAACGTGGCAAAACCCTACCTCTACCAAAAAAAAAAAAAAAAAAAAATTACAAAATTTAGCTGGGCGTGGTGGTGAGCACCTGTAGTTGCAGCTACTCAGGAGGCTGGGGTGGGAGGGTGGCTTGAGCCCGGGAGGTGGAGGTTGTAGTGAGCTGAGATTGCATCACTGCACTCCAGCCTTCAGTTAGAAGTACTCGAGGCTATGGGAGGGGGTGGGCTGAGCCCGGGAGGTGAGGTTGTAGTGAGCGATTGCACACGCACTCCAGCCTGGGTGACAGAGCCAGACTCACCAAAAAAAAAAAAAAAAAAACTATTTTTTTTTTTTTTTTTTTTTTTTTTTTGAGACGGAGTCTCGCTCTGTCGCCCAGACTGAAGTGCAGTGGCCAGATCTCACCTCACTGCAAGCTCAGCCTCCCGGGTTTACGCCATTCTCCTGCCTCAGCCTCCCGAGTAGCTGGGACTACGGACGCCCGCCACCTTGCCCGGCTATTTTTTTGTATTTTTTAGTAGAGACGGGGTTTCACCGTGTTAGCCAGGATGGTCTCGATCTCCTGACCTCGTGATCCACCCATCTCGGCCTCCCAAAGTGCTGGGATTACAGACTTGAGCCACCGGCCCGGCAATATTTAATATTTTTAAATGTGTTTGAGGTCAGGGCAATAACTGAATGTCCGGACAGGTTATTTCAAAGTACAATTTTGGGAAAACTCATATTTCATCTGTAAGTTATGGTGGGACATTTGTTTAAAGTATCAGTTTTTCTTTGTGCAAATGAAGTGATCTTCCAATTTTAATTTTTTATATCTTCAGAGGAAATAATCGTCATGCTGTATAGATACAAGATTCCTTGTTTTGGTTTTTTATAATGAAGAGTTGAAGGTTTATATATTAATTTTAATTTTCTTCATGAGAAACTGGAAATAGTAAAATGGGATGTCTTTTATGTCTGTGTAAATTTCTCCTTAAACAATTTTTCTAAGATGGTGGAGTTACCTTAGGAATGGTGCTTTTATGTGAAGCTGCTACCTCTGACATGGATATTGGAAAGCGAAAGAGTAAGTCACCTTACTCAAAATGTAACAGTGCTGCCTGTAATATGGAAAAAGACTGATCTCTTAATCACTTTTCCTCTTACTTATAGGATAAGTAGGTTATTTTACCCCTTTACTATTTTTTCTTTAAATGTCGTGTCTGTTATTAAACCCCTTTACTATTATAAAAGTAGTATATGCTCTATAGAAAATGTAAAAAAAAAGGCCGGGCGCGGTGGCTCAAGCCTGTAATCCCAGCACTTTGGGAGGGCGAGACGGGCGGATCACAAGGTCAGGAGATCGAGACCATCCTGGCTAACACGATGAAACCCCGTCTCTACTAAAAAATACAAAAAACTAGCCGGGCGAGGTGGCAGGCGCCTATAGTCCCAGCTACTTGGGAGGCTGAGGCAGGAGAATGGTGTAAACCTGGGAGGTGGAGCTTGCAGTGAGCTGAGATCCGGCCACTGCACTCCAGCCTGGGCGACAGAGCGAGACTCCATCTCAAAAAAAAAAAAAAAAAAAAAAAAAAAAAAACAGGAGCATGAAGCATTTATTCCACCACTGAAAAACTAATTATTAGTAAACTGAAATATATTTCTTTGCACTTATAAAAACATCTTAAAAACTATATATATAAAATTTTGACACTTCACACCCCCTTTTTAAACTGGAGTTAAATAACTAATAACTTTTTCTATATATGTAATTTTAAACTTACACTCTGTTTTTGTTTGTTTTCTTTAAGACAGGGTCCCACTCTGTCACTCAGGCTGGAGTGCAGTGGCATAATCATAGCTCACTGTAACCTCCGCCCCTAGGCTCAAGCTGTCCTCACACCTCAACTTCCGTAATAGCTGGGACTACAGGCACGTGCCACCATGCCCAGCTAATATTTTGTACTTTTTGTAGTGATGGGGTTTTGCCACTTTGCCCAGGCTGGCCTCAAACTCCTGGACTCAAGTGATCTTCCCACCTCAGCCTCCCAAAGTGTTGGAATTACATGCGTGAGTTGCCGTGCCTGGCCGACTTATACTCTATATTGTAATTTAAGTATTCCAATTTTTTTCAATGTTTAGTTTTTTCCTAATTTCAATTATAATTATTCTTCCATAACTATCATGATACATTAAGCATCTTTTATTTTTTATTTTTTATTTTTTTTTGAGATGGAGTTTCGCTCTTATTACCCAGGCTGGAGTGCAGTGGTGCAATCTCGGCTCACTGCATCCTCTGCCTCCCAGGTTCAAGAGATTCTCCTGCCTCAGCCTCCTGAGTAGCTGGGATTACAGGCACCAACCACCACGCCCAGCTAGTTTTTTTGTTTTTTGGTTTTGTGTTTTTGTTTGTTTGTTTGTTTGTTTTTTGTAGTTTTCATAGAGATGGTGTTTCACCATGTTGGCCACGCTGGTCTCAAACTCCCGACCTCAGGTGATCCACTCGCCTCGGCCTCCCGAAGTGCTGGGATTACAGGCATGAGCCACCGAGCCCAGCCATCATTCTTATTTTACGTTGTTTCCTTCAGGTAGATTCCTAGAAGAAGAACCAACTGTGTGATCCTCTGTCTATTTTCAATTCTCTTGATGTTTTTAATCATTAGAGATTACTTTGGCAAGTTAAAATAATTTAGATTTCTACTACTGGTATTTAAGGATGTTTGTTTCAGCCGGGCACAGTGGCTTATGCCTGTAATCCCAGCACTTTGGGAGGCCGAGGTGGGTGGATCACTTGAGGTCAGGAGCTTGAGGCCATCAAGCCTGATCAACATGGTGAAACCTTGCCGGGCGTGGTGACTCATGCCTGTAACCCCAGCACTTTGAGAGGCTGAGGCTGGTGGATCACGAGGTCAGGAGATCGAGACCACGGTGAAACCCCATCTCTACTAAAAATACAAAAAAAAATTAGCCGGGCGTAATGGCAGGCACCTGTAGTCCCAGCTACTTGGGAAGCTGGGGCAGGAGAATGGTGTGAACCCGGGAGGCGGAGCTTGCAGTAAGCTGAGATCTCGCCACTGCACTCTAGCCTGGGCGACAGAGCGACTCTGTCTCAAAAAAAAAAAAAAAAAAAAACCATGGTGACACCCCATCTCTACTAAAAGTACAAAAATTTGGCCAGGCACGGTGGCTCACGCCTGTAATCCCAGCACTTTGGGAGGCCAAGGCGGGTGGATCACGAGGTCAGGAGTTCGAGACCAGCCTGGCCAACCTGGTGAAACCCCCGTCTCTACTAAAAATACAAAAATTAGCCAGGCGTGGTGGCATGTGCGTGTTAATCCCAGCTACTCAGGAGGCTGAGGCAGGAGAATCGCTTGAACCCAGGAGGTGGAGGTTGCAGTGAGCCAAGATCGCACCATTGTACTCCAGCCTGGGTGACAAAGCAAGACTCCATCTCAAACAGCAAACAACAACAAAAAAATTCGCCAAGCGTGGTGGCACATACCTGTAATCCCAGTTACTTGGGAGGCAAGGCAGGAGAATCACTTGAACCTGGGAGGCGGAGGTTGCAGTGAGCTGAGATCGCGCCATTGCACTCCAGCCTGGGCTACAAGAGTGAAACTTCATCTTAAAAATTAATAATAATAAAGAAGAAGAATAATGTTTCATTGTATTTTTTTTTTTTTTTTTTTTTTTGAGACGGAGTCTCACTTGTCACCCAGGCTGGAGTGCAGTGGTGCGATCTCGGTTCACTGCAAGCTCTGCCTCCCGGGTTCATGCCATTCTCCTGCCTCAGCCTCCCAAGTAGCTGGGACTACAGGCGCCCGCTACCATGCCCGGTTAATTTTTTGTATTTTTAGTAGAGACAGAGTTTCACCGTGTTATCCAGGATGGTCTCGATCTCCTGACCTCGTGATCCGCCCGTCTCAGTCTCCCAAAGTGCTGGGATTACAGTCATGGGCCACCGCGCCGGCCGTTTCATTGTAATTTTATCAACATTAATCTCATAAATATGTATCTGTTTTATAGATACATACAGATTTGCTAATCAGATAAGGTGGAAATATATTATTTTGTACTACTTTTATTGTTATAAGGTCAAATATTTTCCTAAATGTTTATTAGTCATTTGTGTTTATGTTTTTCCTTCTATAAATTGTCCTTTTATCTTTTGCCATTTATCTGTTAGAGTCTTAGCCCTTTGGTTTGCAAGGAATTTTCTTTTTTTATTTTCGAGACGGAGTCTTGCTCTGTCTCCCAGGCTGGAGTGCAGTGGTGCGATCTTGACTTACTGCAACCTCCGCCTCCCGGGTTTAAGCAGTTCTCCTGCCTCAGCCTCCCATGTAGCTGGGATTACAGGTGCACGCCACCACGCCCAGCTAATTTTTGTATTTTTAGTAGAGATGGGGTTTCACCATGTTAGCCAGACTGGTCTCAAACTCCTGACCTCATGATCTGCCTGCCTCGGCCTCCTAAAGTGCTGGGATTACAGGTGTGAGCCACCCTGCCTGGCCAGACTTTTTTTTTTTTTTTTTTCCCCAAGGCAAGACCTTACTCTGTTGCCCAGGCTGGAGTGCAGTGCCGCAATAATGACTTACTGTAGCATCGAACTCCTGGGCTCAAACAATCCTACTGCCTCAGCTTCCCAGGTAGCTATGACCACAGGCTCATGCTACCACTCCCACTTAATTTCATTTTATTTTTTGTAGAGATGGGGTCTCACTTTGTTGCCCAGGCTGGTCTGTATCTCCTGTGCTCAAGGAACCTTTCCCACTTTGGCCTCCCAAAGTGCTAAGATTACAGGCATGAACCACCATGCCCAGCCTGCATGAACTTTTTATATATTAGAATATTCACACATTGTTGTCTGTTACAGAGAGAAGCTAACAATGTAATTTGGTTTTACTTTCTTGAAATAAGTATAAGTCAAGATTTTCCTTTTATGATTAAAAAGTTAAATGTCAACCAGGCGTGGTGGCTCACACCTGTAAATCCCAGCACTTTGGGAGGCCGAGGCAGGTGGATCACCTGAGGTCAGGAGTTTGAGACCAGCCTGGCCATCATGGCGAAACCCCATCTCTAAAAAAGCAAAAATTAGCCAGGCATGGTGTCATGCGCCTGTAATCCCAGCTACTCGGGAGGTTGAGGCATGAGAATCACTTGAACCCAGGAGGTGGAAGTTGCAGTGAGCCAAGATAGCACTACTGCACTCCAGCCTGGGTGACAGAGCGAGACTTCATCTCAAAAAAATAAAAATAAAAATGTTAGATGTCATCAAAATTACCCTACCTAAATAAAGTCTAATATTTACTTTAACTTCTAGAAAAAAGATGAAGATACTAAACTTCAAATTTGAGAAGTACTTGTTTTGCTCAATTAAAATAAATTTTTTTTAGCTGGATGTGGTGCCACACACTTGTAGTCCCAGCTACTTGTGAGGCTGGTACAGGAGGATGGCTTGAGGTCAGTGAGCTATGATCACACCACTGCACTTCAGTCTGGGCAGCAGAGCGAGACTCAATCTCTAAAAGCATAAATTAATGAATTTTTACATATTAGAAAAATATCAGTTTTTAAATTTTTTTTTTTTTAAATATGGAACACTTCACGAATTTGCGTGTCATCCTTGCACAGGGGCCATGCTAATCTTCTCTGTATGATTCCAGTTTTAGTATATATGCTGCCAAAGCAAGCACTTTATCAGTTTTTAATCCAGTCAGTATACATCCTTTCACTGCCTGACTTTTTACGAGATCAGGCGCATTCAGGGTGCTATGACTGTAGACTCTGCCTGACTTTTAAAAAATTGCCTGTTTCAGTGTTTATTCTTGGGAAAAGGCCATCAAAGTACACTGCTGACATGAACTTAAATTGTTAAACACTTTGGCAACATATACTGAAATAGTCACAATTTGATCTAAGTTTCTTACCTAACAAAATGATCACAAATTAATAGATGTTTCTTTAGCATGTTCTGGGAACTGCTCTAAGCACTTTTAGATGTATGAAAAGAGGAGGATACAAATATATACAGAGTGATGCTATATATATGTATGTGCACATTTTCTTTTTCTTTTTTTAAAATTTGAG